ATGGCTAATAGCTCTTTCTCGGTTGTAGAATAATTAACTTCTGTGTCTTTCAACGTTCGAGAAGCATAAGCGATGGGAAGATCTTTACCAATGGGTCCCTGACTTAATACAGCACCTACTGCATAATTAGAAGCGTCAGTCGTCACTAAAAACGGTTCTGAAAATTTCGGGAATTGTAGAAGAGGTTCCGAGCAAAGAATATCGCAAAGTTTAACGAACGCCTGGTTTGCCGAATCATCCCAAATAAATTTTTTCTCTTTTTTCAATAAACATGTCAGGGGTTTGGCTATTTTAGCCATGTCTTTGATGAAACGCCTGTAATATCCGACGAGACCAAGGAATTGTTTCACGTTTTTTCTAGTTCTGGGAATTGGGAAATGTTTTACGGCTTTAATCTTTTCTGGGTCAGGTTGGACACCTTTATCCGTGATTTGATGACCCAAATAAACTAATTCACGGCGGAGAAAATGACACTTGTCGGGTTGAAGAGTTAAACCTGCATCTCGTAAGCGTGCCAATAATGTTTTCAATTTTCACGCGTGTTCTTCCACAGAGCTAGCATAAATGACAATGTCATCCATGTAAACAAAGAGTTCGATACCTTGGAGTCCCGATAAAACCTGATCCATCATGCGCTGGAATGTGGCTGGAGCATTCTTTAATCCAAAAGGCATTTTATTAAACTCGAAAAAACCGAAGGGAGTGGAAAATGCCGTCTTGTGTTTGGATTTTTCATCCATGGGAATTTGATGAAATCCTGAAGCTAAATCGAGAGTACTAAAATATTTTGCCCCGCCTAGTTGATCAAGNCGGGAATTTGATGGAATCCTGAAGCTAAATCGAGAGTACTAAAATATTTTGCCCCGCCTAGTTGATCAAGGATATCAGTAATATTTGGAAGAGGATAAGCGTCACTAATTGTTTTTTAATTAAGTGCCCTATAATCAATCACTATCCGCCATCGAGGTTTCCCTGAAGAATCGGGTTTTTTAGGAACGATCCATACGGGAGAATTATATGAAGATTTAGATGGCGAAATTGCTTCATTCTCCAAAAGACCTTTAACTTGGGTTTTTATCTCCTCTTTATGTACAGCTGGGAAACGATACTGCTTGGTATTGATGGGAATTTCATCAGTCGTGAACAACGTATGTTTCGCAGCTGTCGTGGTACCTAATTTATCTCCAGGTAGATAAAATTGATAAGGGAATTGAGAAAGTCTTGCGAGAACACTCGTTTGCTCATTTTCGTTTAAATGCGATAACTTCAGGAGTTTCATCAACTGAACGATTCTTTGGGCGACTTCTTTCGCATTCTTACGCATGGGGTCATTGACACGAGCTTTCTCAGGGGTTGGGGGCACTGTGTCGAAGTCCTCTAATTCCACGGGAGAAAGGGTAAGAGTGACATGGCTCGTGGTGGTGTTAATAGCGAAGATTTTTGCTTTTCCACCTTTTTGTGAAGCCAATACTTGGCCTAAATAAACTCCAGGCCCAGCATTAATCCTACAAATATAACCAGATTTCCTATCTTGATTTTTGACAGGTAAATCAATCAATTTTTTAGTTCGAGGGGGAAGCTCAAAAGAGGTGAGTATCGAATGAAAATTCCTTATCACCCAAACGTAAACTACTAGGACATTCATTCCTGAAATGAAGGACCGCTTCCTGTTTCGTAAGGAATTGAATGCCTAGAATTCCATCGGCTTTGACTGGGAAAGTATCTGTCACTACTTGGAATTGGATGCTCGTATTTTCTACCGGAATAATTACCTCACCGAGTGTATGTAACATGCCAGAACCTATTCCTGTGACACTGAATTTAATTTTTTCATTGATAATCGCTGCTGAATTTAATGCCCGTTGTTTTATTAAATTTAATTGTGATCCAGTATCAACCAAAAATTGAGAATTATCTTTAATCAACGGGAGATTATTCAGGGGAATTATGGGGAGATTTCCGATTCCGTTACTTCCGGCATTGTAACAGACTCTGTGGGCTCGGCTCGGGCAATGAGGATTTCGCCCCGCGCGTTGTGGGCCGGCGGAGCGCCCTTTGAGTTTAAATTCTGATAATTATTACCCCGATTTCCGCGATCTTCTCTTTCTCTCTGATTATGGTAATAATTAGATTGATTATTGCGATTCCCGAAATAATTATTAGAGTTGTCTCTTTGATTTCTGTGATAATTGGAGGAGTTGTATCGACGGTTCTCATGAGAATTATGATTACGATGATGTTGGGGTCTTCTGTCGGGTTGATAATGTCTTTCGCGTTCTCGTCCGTCGCGTCTGTGATCATGCCTGTATTGTGATTGATGATGGTGATTGACACGTCGAGTTTGTCGTTCACGAGAACTATCTGATGTGTAATTTGTGTTGTAAATTTTCGATTGGAGTGTATTTTGTTTAGGAGGGACCTTTTGCAAATGACGAGCACGTTCTCCGTTCTCTAATTCGATTCTGGTGGCAATATCGATCGCATTTTGCAAGGAGGAAGGTTTTTCTTTAGCCAAAAGAGTGCTAGTTAATTGATCCCGTAACCCGCGTGTAAAACATGTAATGGCGGAGTTATCGAGAAGGGTAGTTACACCGATAACCTGCGTATCATCAAATTGTTCTTGGGCTGCCTCACGTCCTCGATTCAAAACCTCTAAAATTCGAGCCCCGAAAAATTCGATTTCCTCATTGTCCTTCTGAGTAAGTCTGCGTAATTCGTCATTAACACGATCAATGTCAAAGAAACGTACGAATGTATTTTTTAATAAACCGATTAATTCATTGAGAGTGTCTGGCATTTTTCTACCCGTGATGAGTTGTTTTGCATGTCCCTGGATTTTGCTGTAAATTAGCGCAACGAGATTTGAACGATCAGACGGTTTCACTCGTGAATGTGATATTTTGCATTGTTTCAAGAAATTACTGAGTTCTGTAACTTTCCCATCAAATCGTGGAACCAGTTCAAGAGCCAATTTCAAAGACAAATATGACTGATTCTGGGGAATTGATCGAGTACGAGGAGTCGGTTCTGAATCAAAAATTTCGACAAGTGAATTGTCGCTTGAAGGATTAGAAATACGGGGTGAATCACTCCCAGAAGAGTGCACTGAATTTGGAAGAATGGTCCGAGGGTTGACACGAGAAATCTGATTCATTTGTTGTTGTGAATGGGTAAGTTGATGAACAACGAAATCTGATGAGGATGTGAGGGTAATTTCCTGTGAACGAGGCTCAGGTTCGAAGAATTCTATCGCAAATTGGCCACTACCACTCGGCTGTACACCTAAATTTCGGCGCGACATATTGAATTGGAATTTTTGATGACTTACGTTTTGTGATCCCTGGCTAATCTTAATCCAAATTTCACTTATTGTCTATATTTTATTCACACCAGCACTGCTAGACCACTGCACATTTCGCCTGGTTTCCGTTGTCCACTCCGCCGATGTCGTCTCCTCGCTCCTGGCCGCTCTCCTCTCCGGTTGATTTTCGGTTGAATTCTCGTCTCCAAGTCTTCGGTCGCCGTATTTTAATTTTATCCAGTGATTTTATTATTAAAGCCTCTTTAACGCGTGTGATTTCAACGGCAATGACAATGTACGGTCATTGAAACCACTCTCTCTGGCATTTGCCCGACGTTCAAGGGGAAAACCGTACTCAAACAACCCAAGAAAGAGAGGTGCGCGATGAATAAGTATTGTAATTATTTAAAATATTAGATTGATTTCATAAAATGAGGCGAGGTTTGATTCACTGTCACTGAGTGTTCATAAATTCAAACTTTTATGATTTTAGAATGAGCGGAGATCCACCAAAAGTTTTTCAGAATGTTTATTATTATTTTTCTTTCACTCACTCAATCACTAGTCCGAATTTTGATTATTTTCAAACGAAATAATTTTTACTCTATCACTTTTCAGTTCGATTCACGCACTTGTCAGCCGGCACTTTTTAAATTTAAAATTTTATAATGTCCTTTTATTTTTTTATCCCACCGCTGTCACCAAAATTGTTACGTCCCGAGCTGGTTATTTTGTAATATAGATGGCGGGTCCGTTGCCCATGGAGTGCTAAAGCACTCTGCTGCACAAGTGCGGGTTTTATTTAAATAATTGTACACAAACACTGGATTTATGTAGAAGATAAAATTATAATGAATATATTTGCACTTTGACTTTTGTTGACAATAACAAATAGAAACTTTGAACACAAACTCAAAGGAGAAGATCTCTAGATCTTCACTAGTCCACGTAGGTGGTGGATCTGCTGTTAATTCTAGTCTTAAAATTATTCTAAGTCTAACGCGCGAAAAAGTCATCCCACTCGAAGGAGTGGGGAGCCAATCATGTCCTTGGACTTGGTCGATGGGGTTGGTCTTACACCCCCACAACCGTTCGCTCTAACCCAGCCCCAAACTCTCGGACCTACGTGACCCAAACAAAGGGCCTCACCCACACATGTTGGGGAAAACAAGGGAAATTCCAAAGTTTTCTTGGGAAAGAAATAAACTCTCTCAAGAAAGGTTTTTTGACTCCGACGGGTCAAATTGCACTCGAAAAACTCATCATATAAGAAAAAAGAGGTACTTGAAAGGGATTAACCTCCGGGTGGTCTGAGGATGTTGGGACATTCCCCAGTTTATTGCTCTTTTCCTGTTCTTGGGTTTTTCCCGAGTCTTTGTTCAATGAAAACTTAAACATTTCTCTATTTTAAAAATTATTAAAAAACATCTCGATGAATTAACTTAGAAATTGAAAATAATAAATTTGAATATAAATCCTAAAGTTAGGGAAAATGGCGGTCGTCTAGGGACCCTGCAACCGTCGCTGGTGCATATGCGACATTACTCTCGTGCCCTCTTAAGAGTTCATTTGTTATCTGTGATTATTAGACAGTCGGAACAAAAAACAACTATCCCTTGTTTCGCATAAAACAAAGATTTCTCGGGAGCAAAATATGTATGGGAGTATCGAATAACGAAGGAGTAGTGCTAGAAATGACATTTCTTGCGTGTACAGAGAATACAATTTTTTTTGAACTACTAAATAAATTTTTGCGACAAAATTTTTAATTCCGATGCACTCTCTACACATTTGGCACAAAACAAACCTTTTTTGATAATTTTCAAAAAACTATTTTCTTGGCACAAGTAAGACTTGTTTAAGAACTTTGTCGTTTTTCTCCCGGTGTATACAAAATTGGCAGATTTGCTCATAAATGAAACAGAAACACCATCGAAGATGCGCAGGATTTTGTAAAATAAAAACGAACTACTTCAAATCAATGGTTATGGAGAAAAGAGGGAGAGGGGAGCTGGAAAAGTGCTTATGGTTGAGGCTATTACGTCCTGGCAGGAGTTCTTGTACCTCTTGAGGGTTTTCCGAGGTGGGAAGGTATTGTATAAAAGGCAGAGGACAGTATTTCGCTCTTTCATTCTTATCTTAGCTTTGGGCAGTTTTTTTCATTAGTAGATATGAACAAAATAATGTTCCGAATTTCAGTACTCTCTATTATTGGGTCTGGAATGGTTTTGGGAACTCTTATCAGTCAGAAGGTGGATGATACCTGTGAAACGCTTATGTCTGATATCCATGTAACGAAAGGTATTTGCAAAAATTATCATTGTATTTCTATTCTTAAGAAATCGTGACACAACTCGAAAAGAAATAAAATTTTTTGTATTATTTGCAGAAGAATTTGATGAAGGTGGAATTCTACTCAGAACTTGTTCAGACGATTTATCTGTCACAAAATGTGAAGGTTTCTGCAACTCGCAAGTCCAGCCTAGTATCATGACAGCAACAGGATTTTTGAAGGTAGTTTTGAAAAATAAATCAATGTTGCATAGTTATGATGCATTCTTAAATAATTTCTGGCTTATTCAGGATTGCTACTGTTGTCGGGAGAGTTACCTTAAAGAGAGAAACATTATATTACACCACTGCTACAGTCCAGACGGGATAAAATTGGTGGAGTCAGAAACTGCCACTATGGAGATAAAACTACGAGAACCTGCTGACTGCGAATGCTTTAAATGTGGAGATTTCTCCAGATAAATTCCAATCTGACGCAGAATGAACATTACCAAAATTGTTGAACCTTATTGAAAATGTATCATGTCAATTGATTGATTGAATAAAATGCAAAATGTATGAGACGAACTGAAATTTTCATTAATACATTTCCGGAAAAAAAATCACATTATCGTAAAATTGATTATACCTCTTGATTTATCCACTACTTTTTTTTTGTTTCTTTCAGAAACCTAAACTAATTAATAAAAAAAATTGAGTGAAGTTGTTGACTCGATATAAAAATTTGAATTACTAATCGATGTTGGCTGACTTCACTATAATCGTCAACACGGTGAGGGTATTAAACACTTTACTGCTAGTAACCAGCTGGGTGGCCGAACCTGAACGCTTCACAACTGCTCTTTGCAATTTGCGGTTGCTTCAAGCCATAAATTCAACAACATCACTTCTAATATAAGCCCTTGTAATCAACAGTTGTCTGTTGTCTTATTTTTCTAATTCTATAGAATTTTTACACATAATGAATTTTGGAAAAAATAATTGATAATTCGTAGGATGTGTTTAAAGACTAACAAATATAATTTAAGTATATGATAAGTCGCTAGTTAATGAAAAAAAGTGGTAGACATAGGGGAGGTTGACGAATGGGGTTGATGACCAGTACAAGAATTCCCACTATTTTTCCCCTCCGGGTTTCATGTCTCGTAAATGGAGCTCACCCTTGGGTATAAAAGTACCCTGCATCTTAGACTCTTAGCACAGTACCCGTTTTGATGATACTCGAAAGATGTATCCGACGAACTGGGCAACATTTCTTTACCTTGGTAAATAGGGCGAAACATCCAGTCAAACCAATTTACGTACTCTTCTCAAAAAAAAACTTCATGAGTTATTAACAAATCTCTTTCGTTCAATCACTGATAGTTGAAGAATTTCATTTTTTAGAATGGTGGAAGGTTCACCCTAGAGTCTAATAAGAAATAGAAATTGCATTGTTGAAACAAAATTATAAGTTATGCCTACTTTAATTGTCTACGAAGTGCTGCTATTTAAATTCATTATTCAATTCTATTTAATTATTTACCATTGGAATAATTTCATCCGTTACTTGTAAATCAGTAGTCTTCAGTGTGCTCCATTGGTGTTTGCAACGAGAAGTTGAGGCTTTGGTTGGAGTAGATGAGTGCAAGATGACGAAGATGTTACACGTACTCAAAGCTAATGGATGCCTACCCAGACGAATCCCGAGTTTCATCTGCCATGGACGTTGTAGTAGCTACATACAGGTAAGACTAAAATTGATGAATACCCATATCTCTTTTAGTCATGATGTTGCTTTTGAAAAGTATATAAAATCACTCGTATACAGCTATCCGTGAAGAAATGATATGAAATAGTGTGTAACAATGTAATAATGGGCTTTAAATTAGGAAGCTTTAATGTTGAGGAAGATAGAAGATTGAAAGCTACACGGAAATTTGAATAAATAAATTAGCGTTGAAGAGAACCTCTCGCCCCTCTCTCTCGTCACATTTGGAAAAAAAAACTCGAAGAATATTCTTAATAGTGAGACAAAATAAAAAAGAAACATTGACAATCACTTACACATCTCGTGAAAACAGGCAAAATAAATTTTCTTCTTGATTTGAGCTACCATATTATAGTGAAAAAAATATAAACCTTATTTTCAAGGTTTCTGGCTCCAGAATGTGGCAAATGGAGAGAAGCTGCATGTGCTGTCAGGAGAGCGGCGAGCGCGAAGCAACTGTTTCTCTCTTCTGTCCCAAAGAAAAACGAAAGTTTCGAAAAGTAATCACGTCGACTTATATTAATCCTTAATATGGAAAATAATTCATGAGTACAATTATATTTGATAAAAAAAAGTAGCAACTTTTACACAAACGTATTTGAGTGTCACTCAATAGATTGGAATTGGAAGTTTAGTAAATTGGAACTGCCATGTTGTTTTCGTATCTTATTTGGTTGAAGGGAATTTTTTCGGAATGTGAACCATTTCAAATTAGGGAGTTTTTCGACCAATTCACGAACTAATAGCGCCACGGGGCTACCCACTTTTCAGTGGATCAGGAACAGAGATAATAAGGGAGATCTCTCACGGCAATGTAAACGTTTCGACCAGAGATTATAGAGAAGATGAGCAGGGCCAATGTAAAGTGTTCAACAGCAAAATACGTAGCGGTGGCGCATGGACTACGATGGAGCGTACGGAACTGTTGGTATGGTAGGGCCCGAGCATAAATTTGTCGATAACCGGAAAGGGGTTCTCAATACGGTAGCTCCTCGCATTTTGTAATAATTGTCAGGAATGTAAAATCGAACGTATTATAATCAATAGTATAATGAATGCACAATCTAATGATCTAAAAGTTTTTTCCTTTTTCTCGACATATTTATTATTGACACGTAGGTCAAAAAATTCATAGAAAATCCCACACTACAAAAAGTCCTTACTGAATTTAAGATACATTTGTCCCATTTTTTAAGTAGGAAATGTCACAGTTTTTAAGTAGACAAATGTGACTGAATTTCAGACAGCACATGTATCTTATGATTAAGATACTTTACGAATCTTAATTTTTCAAAATTATT